TAGTAGTAGTAGTAGTAGTAGTCGTAGTAGTAGTAGTAGTAGTAGTAGTAGTAGTAGTAGTAGTAGTAGTAGTAGTAGTAGTAGTAGTAGTAGTAGTAGTAGTAGTAGTAGTAGTAGTAGTAGTAGTAGTAGTAGTAGTAGTGTAGTAGTGGAAGCAGAAGAAGAAGTCGCAGTGGTAGTAATTAGTCGTAGTAGTGCGGCGCCGACGACGCCGAAGCCGAAGCCGACGACGCCGATGAGGACGACGCCGACGACGACGCCTACGACGCAGTAGAACCACAGCAAAACCACAGGAAACGACAGGAAACCACAACAAAATCACAGCAAAGCCACGTCAAACCACAGCAGACAAAACCACAATCTCCTCTCCTCCTTTTCTCTCCTCCCCTCCTTTTCTCTCCAGGCCCTCAAGAGGCTTCAAAACGACCCACGAAGCCCCCAAGAGGTCCCCAAACGCCCCAAACGACCCGCCAAGAGGCCCCCAATAGGCCCCAAACCGAAACGACTCCGAAGCAGCTTCCAAAACAGCTTCGGAAACAGCTTCCGAAACCGCCTCCTAAAGATATTCCGAAACCGCTCCGAAACATTCCGAAACAGTTCCGAAACAGCTCCGAAACGGCATCCGAAACGGTTTCCAAACAGCCTCCGACGCGGTCCCGAAATAGTTCCAAAACGGCTCCGAAACAATTTCCGAAACAGCCTCCGAGACAGCATCCGAAACAGCTTCCGAAATAGCCTCCGAAAGACATTACGAAATTGCTCCGAAACGGCTTCCGAAACAGTTTCCGAGGCTACCAAACCGAACCGAGGAGGAGGAGGAGGAGGAGGAGGAGGAGGAGGAGGAGGAGGAGGGTTTGAATTCGAAAACCCGGACTTTCGAAAGTCCGGGTTTCAATTTTTTGATTTCCGGGTCTACCGGAGGAGGCAGAAGGAGGGAGGGGGGAGGGGCAAGCTAGGTGCGCTCGCGTCACATCTGACGTCCTACCCCGCCCTCCCATCCCTTACCATGGCGTAGATCTCTCTGTTCGCACAGTTGGATGTCGTAGCATGGCATAGCATTACATGGCAGAGCATGGCGTTGAATATCAACGCGTAGCATGACATAGCATGGCGTGGCGACGCCCCAAAGTGGGGGGGGGCTTCTACGGCCCAATCAACGAATCGACACCCAATGTGTAATCACTTCCGATGGTCGTTTCGGGTGGGGGGTGGGGGGGCGTTTTTTTAGATTTGGGGCCTAATTGGAAGGACCAGAAACCATGCCGTGGCATGGCACTGGAAATAATGACGCCAGCGCTGCAGCGGGAGCACGAATCGGAACGAGCGGAAGCGCGGACATGAGTCTAGCGCTGCAGCGGGAGCACGATTCGGAACGAGTGGACGCGCGGAAATGAGGCCAGCGGTGCAGCGGGAGCAGGAAGGGCGTTGGGGGGAGGAGGGAGGAGGGCGGAGGGAGGAGGGAGCCTGAACAGTATCAAAAATTGGGGGTTCGTGATTTTCTCACGACGCGAGGGTGCCGGATGTCCTCGCGGCGGATTCTTCCAGCAACGCTGCCCCGGCCACGGGCTGCCCCCCCTTCTCCCCTGCTGGAGCCGTCGGCGACAGGCGCGCGCAAGCCGCTCCGCAAGGGGGTCGCCCGCCGGCAGTCGATCAGGTCCTTGGACTCGCCCCTGGCGCGGGCGGGGGGGGCGGGGGCGGCGGCCATATTCGAAGCGGAACGGTCTTTGATGAATGTATGCGTTCATGTATTAGCAAATTAATCATGTATGAAAGATCATGTATTTTTGAAAAATCCGATGTATTAAAAATTGCCTTGTAGGCTTTCGGAGCTCGTCGGTGGACCCCGATCTGCGCTGGACCTGCGCTGGGCCCCGACCCCCTCTGGCGGCCTGGCGCGCTCCGCGCGCCAGGGCAGGGAAGGGGGCCAGCGACGATCCCGGGAATCCGCGCGGAGCTCCGAGCGTTTCTGTTTGCGCATGTGGTTCTTCTTCTAGGCTTAAGACGGGCATGTCCCGCTACAGGAGGACTGCGCGAAATTGTCAAACATAGTCTGGGGTCGGTTTCTCTACCACTTCTTGAATCTACATTTGATTTTTTGGGGAATATGTTTTATCTGTTGTCCAACATCCCCCCTGTAAGAGTGCATGCCCGACCTAATTCTAGAACAGGGGCGACGATTTCTTGGGCCGAGACGGATCTCTGTGGACGCCTGTGCCTCGCGTGCGTCTTCGGCATCAGTAGCACTGCTTGGGCTGGCGTGGGTGCGCTGGGGCTGCCCACTCCTTGAAACGTCGTGTGTGTATGTGATTTGCGCGGCCGGCTCTGGACGCAGTGCCCATAGTGTGACCAGTAGTGAAGAATGTTCTTGGTAAGTAGGGTCGTCTGTTTTCCAGATGTGTGTGTGTGTGTGTGTGAAGTCAGTTCGAGCGCGTTTGTGTTGCCCACGTGCGACCGTGAGCTCGCGCGCGCAGTAGTACAGCGAGAGCAGAGGGTCCAGGGCCATCCCGGTAATGCTCAATCTCTTGGCGCGTCGCGTATCCCCAAGAGCCCCGACTCTGTCTGGCGGCGAGTTGTCTTGCAACTTAGCCCCGTACCGTGACCCGGACGCCGCTTCCACTCCCTGTCCGTTGCCTCGGAGCCGCTGACCAACAACAAGTATCCCCAAGAGCCCACCCAGGAACGATCTCCAGGGACGACCACGACGACGACGACAGCAGTGAATCATTAAGGACTTCACGGGTCGTTCGCCATGGAAGCCTCGTGGAGGCTTCTTGGGGGCCATCGTGGAGTTATCGTCGGGCAATGTTGGGCATATGCTGAGCTCTCGTGGGGCCCTACGGGAGCGCTCTTTTGGGGGCCATTTTGGAGGCCATCAGGCCAAAGGGGGCTGGCCCCGAAAATTGTCGCCCCCCCCGTCGGAAGCCTAACCATCGCCTGTCGGGGCCCTCTTGGGTCCATCTTTGCTGGGAGCCTTCTTGGGCCCCGCTGGGGGCTGTCTTGGACCATCCTGGAAACATTGTATGGACTGTGAAGCCTGTCATAAACAACACAAGAAGGCAACAATTATTCAATCGCTTCGCTCACTCCGCCGGCCCATATTGTTTGACGACTCGTGGGATCGTCCTGGGGGCCTTCTGTGCGTTCCCTGGGGCTACCAGCCACCCGAGATCTTAGTACGTTTCTGACCCGTTGAGCCAGCCCACGTGGTATCTCTGGTACCATATGCTGGTGTTTTTTTGTGGCGAGCATTAGAAGGGCCAAGGAGGAGGAGGAGGAGGAGGAGGAGGAGCAGGAGGGAGGAGGGAAGAGGGAGGAGGGAGGAGGGAGGGGGGAGGAGGGAGGAGGGAGGAGGACGAGGAGGAGAAGGAGGAGCAGGTGGAGCAGCAGCAGGAGAGGGAGGAGGAAGAGGGGAAGCTGCGAACGAGGCGGCGGCCTCTCGATGGCTTCTTGGGGGGTATTTCAGAGCCAGCCTTGGTCGTGGACAAGACGCATATTGCCTCTCGATGCTTTCTTGGGTGTATTTGTAAGTTGGGCATGTTCCTCTACAGGAGGAGCATTGAAAAACATTGTTTGCCTGTTAGCGGAGATCTTAGCACGCCTCTGGCTCGTTGGGCTGGCGAATTGAATTGTACAAGGCTCTAGAAGGATTTGGGCCTCTCGGGGGCGTGCCTTGGAATCTCCGTTACTACTTGGGGACATCTTGTGGCGGTCTTGAAGCAAATGGGAAGCATATCGAAGGACCTCATGTGCCATATCGGGTTGCAGAACAAAGACGCTCTCTGACACTTCGGGGCATCCCCCCTCGGGAGCCAGTGGGAGAGGGGAGGAGGAAGGGCAGAACCCTCCCCGAAGGGGAAGATGGGGTTGGAATACCACACTTCCTACTCCCCAAAACACTTACGCCCAGAGAACTGATTGGATAGTGTTTGTTAGGATGATTGCACTTGGCGAGTGACGGCGAGTGCGCGGAAGTTCAGAGTATGGTGAGAATCAGCGATTTGCATGGCATGAGCATTCCTCGACATGCGCCCAATTGGCAGTTGATGCGGTGAAGCCGTTTGGACGAGAGGCTCGAATGCTTTCGAATTGGACTCTTCGTGCACGGACATGTTGAACGCGCTGTGTTTCACATCGTTTCACCGCCATAGCGTATGCTTGTAGTGCGCATGCACAATGCCTTCACGTAACAAGCCGTACGACATGACGAGACGCACCCGGGCCCACCTTGCTAGCAAGCTCACAGGCAGGCGGGCCTCTGAGAAAAGGCATGTGTGGATCCTGAGATCCCTGTCATCAAAGAACACGGGCGTTTCACATTGCCGTTCTTTTCCTGGATCGGGACGAAACCCAGTCAATTCTGACAGCCTCCCTCATCCGTGCTTAGACCTACGGCAGGTTCGTGTCGTGTCGACGCGGCAGCGACCCCTACGCCGGCGTGCAAGGTTGAATGCCGCCAGTGGCCGACAATCGGCCAATGTGGAACGATGTGATCTGGCGATCGAAAAGCCGCCGATCGTTCAAGGTTACACGATCCACGCGGTATCAGAGACCAATGCTCGGGTCGTCACGGCACGAATTTGCCGCACCACTTCCGGAAGGCCTGCACTGCTGCGTGTGCCGCCAGCGCTGCAAGGCCTGTGCCGACGGCGACTGCAGCGGGAGTCGTTCGCGCTCCCACGGGTCTGTCCGCCGATGGCACAGTGCCGCCGCCCTCTCGCGCGAGACCCGATCTCCCCGGGGGCCCACGTGGCCGGAGGGATGGGAGGGTGGACCTTGACACCTTCGCGTCGTGGAGAAATCACGACGGAAGATGTTCAGCCCATGTCGTGATGAGCCAGGAAAGGACCCCTGACCTTTTCGGAGGGGATTTCCGTCAGGATGGCCAGTAACATCGGGGATATGGGGTCGTTTTTGCAGACGTACCAGGCCAAGCGCCCAGATTTGAATCCCTACTGTGAAGACGTGGGCGTCAGTGAGGCTACGTCTTCATCGTGTTAATCAGGGTTAGGGGTCCTTCTGTTCTCAATGATGTCGGCCTCCTTTGGCCCTCCCCGTTTTGTGAAGGTTTCATCCCATCGGGTCGCCTCCCTGCAGCTGCGTCTCGTCGAGGGCGTCGCGGGGGTGCCCGAAATCGCCCCGATCGGCTGCTGGAGGCCCGAGCGGTGACCCGAGAGCGTGACATCCTCGCGCCGTGACATCTCGGCGGGACGCTTTCTGCGAGGAGGAGGAGGAGGAGGAGGAGGAGGAAAGGGAGGAAAGGGAGGAGGAGGAGGAGGAGGAGGAGGAGGAGGAGGAGGAGGAGGAGGAAAGGGAGGAGGAGGAAAGAGAGGAGGAGGAGGAGTTTCGGCCTCCCGAGTTTCGCCCCCCGGGGGCACCGTTCAGAAATTGCTCGGCGTGAAAAGCCGTCGGTCCTCGGGCAAGGGGTCCAGACCTCTGGGGGGCCAAGTTGTGAGAAGGTCACGGCGCCGATGTGTCTGGGTCTCTCGTGAGGCTCCAGGGGGCCCTCTCAAGAATCCCAAGACGGATCCCTGCACTGCTTCAAATTCGCCCAAGGGGGGGCGGCAAGATGCTACAGGACGACCCCAGGACGGACCCACGAGATCACAAACAGATTCCAGGTGGACCCCCCCCATGGCAGACCTTAGCGGGCCCTGGAAGCGGCAGGGTTTTTTGTTCCACCGTTTCCGACAACAAGTGTTTGTTGAACATGGAAACGATAACAAAAACGGCAACAACAACGGCACTGGAGTTGGAACAGAAGCCGGAATTGGCAAACAAAGATGGCGATGGAGCCAGCAATTAAAACGGCAAACCAGAATTGGTAACAAAGACGACCCTGTCGTTTCCAGGGGCCACGAAGTCCCAGACGGCCAAGAGTTGTCAGAAAAATATTCGGACATCAACAGGTCTTTGAAGTGGGCATGGGGGCGTGGGCGCTGCGCTAGCATGCTTGTGCACTGTAACCCGAGGCCCGGCGAGGCACGCGCCTTGAGGCGGTCGCATGTGCTTTCACACAGTTTGCCGAGGCGCCGTCCAGGCGCGGCTGCTGTCGTTCGTTCGTTCGTTCGTGGGGGCGCGGGAGCGGGCGGGACGGGGGCGGGAGCATGGGGACGGGGGCCGGGAGACGTGCCCCATACAGTTTCTGCGTCGGCGGCCAGGCAGAGGAACTGCGCTGTCGAGGAGGAGGAGGAGGAGCTACCTGGACGGGGGTGCCGTTGTGGCGAAGCGTGGGCGTGTCCCATGCAGGCAGGGCGCCGGGGGGAGGACCACACTTCCAGGGCTCCGGGGAGGGGCTCCCTGACTCTCGGGCCGCTCCGTGTGGATCTGGGCCGCAGGGATGGGGGCGGGCCCTTCGGAGCCAGAGTTCGTCCTGGTCAGGATGGCACCGCCCGCCGAGCGACGCCAATCCAGCTCCCGAAGGTCCCGATGTGCCCTCCCTTTCCAGTAGGGGGGTAGGGTCGGGGAACATTGAAAAACAGACACACGCACACACACACACTCACACACACGCACACACACACACACACACACACACGCACACGCACACGCACCACACGCACACGCACACACGCACACACACGCACACACGCACACACGCACACACGCACACACACGCACACGCACACGCACCACACGCACACGCACACACGCACACACGCACACACGCACACACGCACACGCACACACGCACACGCACACACACACACACGCACACGCACACACGCGCACACGCACACACGCACACGCACACACGCGCACACGCGCACACGCGCACACGCGCACACGCGCACACGCGCACACGCGCACACGCGCACACGCGCACACGCGCGCACGCGCACACGCGCGCACGCGCGCACGCGCGCACGCGCGCACGCACACGTTCGCGCACACGCACACGCACACGCACAAAACCCTCCCGCCTTGATTCTTGCAACGCGCGAGAGGGCCTGACGCCCCCCTCGCGAGCGACCGCATCCCTGGCGCTCGCGGCCCGGGCACCCACAGGCGCCATCCCAGGGGCATACGCGATCCCACGGCCGCGCCCCGCGCGGAACACGCCCGCGCGTGCGGCGGCTGCCCTGCCGCCGCGCGGCCCCGCGGCGGAGGGCAAAGCAGGCCGTCAGGCCGTGGAACACCGTCGGCGGGCGGCCAGAAGGCACGCCAGACGAGGAGCGGAGGGGCTTTCCCGACGACCTGCCAAGCCACCCCAACCCAGCCCGCGAAGACCCGAATTTCGGGTTGCGGGGGGGGATGCAGGCCTCACGTGAGCGACGATCAAAGACGGGTCTTCGGTGACGTGACGTAGCGACCTTACGGCGCAGCTTAGGCGGGCCGCCAGCGCGGCACGCTGTGCTGCTGGTAGGTTCGGACTCCGGGGGCCCTCGGCGGGCCTCGGGACCGTCCAGAAGCGACTCGAGACGAGCGTGAAAAAGCGACGGCGTCGGGGGGGGGTCTGGGGAGGGGTAGGATGTCAACTCCGGGGAGGGAGTAGCTCGTCCTTGGTCGAGGGGCGGCATGTTCGCGCTTCGTCTGGCTCGCTCCTGTGTCGTCCCGCCTGCTGCGGCGTAGCCCTGCTTAATCCTGGCTTCGATTTGGCCCGATACGGCTTGATGGCACTCATAATCGGCCTTGCTAACCTTTAAGTGTTCTTGAGAAGATTTCCAAGGATTTGCATCCTAAGGTGGAGTTTTTAGGCGGGGCCAGGACGAGGATATTTCCTTCCCAGAGCGTTCCGGAACGTTCTCGGAGCTTTCAGGAACGCCCTGAGAAGTCCGTGGCGCCCATTTTGTCCTCCAGAGCCGCCGTATCTCAGAGATCCCCGATTTCTCCTCACCCGAATTCATCCTCGTCCTGGCAAATGATGTTCCAACCTGATTCAGCCTTGATCACCAGAAAGACCTCCGAGCACCAAGACAGTACCGAAACTGGAGGGTTTTCACGTGTCCGGCCCTGGGAGGCGATACTCGTTTGACACTGTTTCGATACTTTTCTGGGCGCTCGAAATTCTGTCTGGGATGTGGTCCTTGGAGTATGATGGGAGCGACATAGTCTTAGGATGCAGGGCTGTGACCGCGGCGAGGGCGCGCATGCAGAGGCGAGCCTTTTTCCCGAGAGAGGGGCGGGGAGGAGCGGCAGCTCGCCAGGGTCAAGGCCGAGGATCAGCCCGTGTTCGTGTCGGTGGCGGCGCGGGGGGGGTCGCGCACGGGCCTCGAGGAGAAGACGGAGGAAGAGGGAGGATCGGAGGCGTGGATCGCAAGCATGGATCGAGGAGGCGTGGATTAGCGACGGCGGGTCCCGTTTCGGGGGGAAATCGCGGATTTCTGCCGCCGAGCGAGGCGGCACCGGCCGCATTTTGAGGAGGGCACCTCCCGCGACCCATGGATTTGGCGACCGCGCGCCAAAATCCACGGATCGCTAATCCATGTTTGCGCGTCCCCGAGAATATGGGGATTGGAGTTAGAAAACCCAGGGTTCGGTAGGGACAGGCTTCCCCCCAAAAAAGAACGAAAGCCCTTCCCAGACCTTCCCGAAACCCTCTGGAAGGCCTTCCGGATCCCTTCCCGGAGGGTTTGTGGAGGGGTTCGGAAGGTTTTCGGCGACTCTGAAAAGGAAGCCAGTCCCCAGCGGGCCCTGGACTTTCCGAGGCTGGAGGCTGGAGAGTCGAGGTCGTCGGATGCGTGTCCGCTCGTTTTCGGGCCTTGGGGGGGTGACCAGGAGGCCTCTCGTCGCCACGGCGGGTGCCCTCTCGGAAGTCTGGCCAAGCGCGCCCCGGGACAGTGCTTGGGTGTGTGTGTGTGGGGGGGGGAACGTGCTCGGCAGCAGATCACGGGAGCGCGGTGTACCCTTTTAGGTCCGTCTTCAGCGTCGATTGACGTTGATTAGCGTCTGGGAGCCGATGAGATAGCGCCGACTTAGCGTCGGCCAGCCTCGATTCGAGTCGACTGGCGTCGATTAGCGTCGATTTGCAAAATCCGACAAGATGGCTTGTGAAGCTCCCGTCAGTTGCCACCGAATGATGAGGAGCAGGAAGGCCCGTCCTTGATGCCGCAATCGGAAGATCGCGCCGCATCACGGATGCATCGCCGATGCGGCTCGACGTGCCGCCCGATGTGTTTCGCGTCGACGTCTCCAATGCATTGCTCACGTCAACGATGCGGCGCGATCCCCCGACCCCATCTACTCTGGCCCCATCTAGGAGGCCTCTAGAGAAGGAAGGCCCGTCCTCGATGCCGCAGTCTGCATCCCAGTGACCATGCCCGTTATCTGGCGAAAAACGCTGCGTGGGGCGCGCCGCAGATCGCTTGGTGGTCACTGCAAAAGCTGGCCGCAAGAGGGGCGGCCGCCGTGGTGCCGTACAGCCGGAAGTTTGCATGTTCTCTCTTCACGGCAGTGATCTTACAGTCGAGGATTAGTAGGTCGACCTTGCCAATCGACATTTGGTTGGTATTCGTCAAAAACATAAGCTTTTGGCGCTCGGCGCGGATTCCTTGGATCCACGCTGGTACCCCCCTGGCGGCGCCTCCGGCGCCGCCCCTGGAGTCGCGCTCTGCGCTCCAGGGAGGGGTGTCCAGGTCAGATCCAAGAAGCCCGCGCGGAGCGCCCAAAGCTCATGTTTATGCCGTCTTTTCTTCTTCTAGCCAAATCAAGAGTAACAGTGTGTCCTGTGCCTCGCCACCCGTGCCTTTTCCACGTTCGCATGTCAACGTTGCCCTCTGAAGGGTCTTGTGCCCTCTTTTGCGTTCCCTCGCCAAGCAGCCCCGACTGAACTGCCTCCAGCCACGGCTCGTCCGACGACGGCAACGGCGGTTCGCGGCGGTGTTGGCGACGACGGCCCACACATCCGACGCCGTGCGCTCCCCACCGCGTGCCCCTCCCAGAGGCTGGGTCCCCCTCCGGGGGGAGGGGGGGCCCGCCGTGTTCTGTTGACGGCCTCTAGGGTTAAGTCGGGCGTGTCCCTCTACAGGAAGGATATCCAAAAGTAGTAAACAAATAGCCTGGAGACGACATTTCTAGAATTTGTTTGACTACCTTTGATTATTCTTTGGCTATTTCTAAATTTGTCGTTCCAAATCCGCCTGTAGGGGGACATGCCCGACCTAAGCCTAGGGCCTCGGCAGCCGGGGCGCGCGGAGGCCTGCAATCACCGAGGGTTTTCCCCCGTGATTGTTTGTGTGTGTGTGTCGCGGCGAGATGGCGTCGCGGTGGGTGTCGCCCTTGGCGGGCGCCGGTCCTATCGTAGTGTGGAGGCCTCACGGCTGGTGCCACCGACTCAGAAAGACGACGACGAACCACGACAACGACAGCGACGAGCTGATGACCCTGCCAGAGGCTCGGAGGGATGAGGAGGAGGAGGAGGAGCAGGAGGAGGAGGAGGAGGAGGTGCAGGAGCAGGAGCAGGAGCAGAAGGAGGAGGAGGAGGAGCAGCAGGAGGAGGAGCGGGAGGAGGAGGGTGAGAAGGCGGAGGAGGAGGAAGAGGAGGAGGAGGAGAGAATGAGGAGGAGGAGGAGGAGGAGCAGGAGCAGGAGCAGGAGCAGGAGCAGGAGCAGGAGGAGCAGGAGGAGGAGCAGGAGGAGGAGCAGGAGCAGGAGCAGGAGCAGGAGGAGGAGGAGCAGGAGGAACAGCAGGAGCAGGAGGAGGAGGAGGAGAAGCAGGAGGAGCAGGAGCAGGAGGAGCAGGAGGAAGAGGAGCAGGAGGAGAAAGAGGAGGAGGATGATGATGATGATGAGGAGGAGGAGGAGGAGGAGGAGGAGTCTTGTCTCTCCCTCGTCCGAGTCTCTTCTCGTTCCTGTTGCTGTTACTCTGCTCTATAATCTTATCCACAGGCAGCGCTCTCGATCAGAGATTGCGGCTGACGAGCGACAGGCTCGTGCCGTGGCTGCCACCGCTCGTTTCCAGCTCATGAGGTAGGCGTGGCAGAGCGAACCTCGGGTTGCGCAGCCACGTGCCAGGAGGACGAGGAGGAGGAGGAGGAGGAGGAGGAGGAGGAGGAGAGAATGAGGAGGAGGAGGAGGCGGAGGAGGAGGAGGAGGAGGAGAAGGAGGAAGCAGGAGGAGGAGGAGAAGGAGGAGGAGGAGGAGGAGGAGGAGGAGGAGCTGGAGCATGAGCAGGAACAGGTCTGGGAGGCGGAGGAGAGCCGTCGTTGGTCTCCTCGGGGGCGGGCGGGCGTCTGGAAGGCGAGAACCGAGGGGGAAGCCCCCAGCGGGGGAGGGGTCATCACCCCTGGAGCCCCCCACGGGACCCCCCCCCCGAGACCACCCTCTCGGGACGATCGAACCGAGCACGAAAAGACTTGGGACAAAGACCTACGACAGGTCCTGTTTTTTAAAAACAGGATTCGCAATGCACGTCCCCGCGGATGTTGTCCATTTGAGGCAGAAAGCCGCCTGCCCAACAACGGCCGCTGGTGGCGTTGAACAACATCTGTTCTTGGGGGGGCATTGTATCCATTTCGTCCGTGCCCATTTCGGGCGTCCAACCCCACGGGACCCCCCCCCCCCTCGGCGGGGAAGGGACAAAGGGAAGGGATTGCCCTTCGACGTAATTTCGACATGATTCGATTCCCCTCGTTTGTTCGATCTCCATGATGACGACGACGAGTCACCAAGGAGGCTGGCGTGTTTCAGTTTGGGTTGGGCTGGCCTCCCTTTGAAGGGCCTCTCACGCACGCCCAGCGGATCGGCGGATTTCCTGGGCCAGAGATGCCCGTGACCACAAAGACCTCGGGCGCCACCACCGAGGGGGCTAGGGTCACGGCCGTGTCAGCGTGGCGTTCATTTGACGGCTTGTCAGCAAACGGCCGTTGGAAAAAAGAAGGAGGGAGGGAATGGCAGGCGGAGGGGGCCACGGAGAAGGATGAGAGGGAGGAGGAGAAGGAAGAAGAGGAGGAAGAGGAGCAGGAAGAGGAATATGAAGAGGGGACGACAGGGTCATGATAAGGATTAGGGTGAGGAGGAGGAGGAGGAGGAGGAGGAGGAGGAGGGAGAGGAGGGAGGAGGAGTTTTGATGAGAGGAGGACTAGAGGGAGGAGGGAGGGGAGGAGGAGGAGGAGGAGGATGAGGAGGAGGAGGAGGAGGAGGAGGAGGAGGAGGAGGAGGAGGGGAGGACCAGGAGGAGTTAGATGATGAGATGAACTGGGAGGTGGCGGAGGAGGAGAGGAGGAGGTGGAGGAGGAGGAGGAGGAGGAGAAGGAGAGGGAGGAGGAGGAAGGGGCGCAGGAGGAGAAGGGAAGGATGCAGAGGAACAGGAGGTTCAGGAGGAGGAGGAGGGAAGGGGGAGGAGGGAGAAGGGGAAAGGAGAGAGGCGAGGGGGGTGGAACCGGATCAACAAGGGAAGTAGGAAAAGTAGGAGTCAGAGGTGGTGTAAGAGAGGAAGGAGGATGAGGAAGAGAAGGAGGAAGGACCATTGACTTAAGGCGCGTCAAGGGTGTTGCAACAAACCCTCCCTGCAAGTACACTCTTCACAGGCCCCTACATCAAATCATTTTTACTGCGGAAAGTTCGGCGTTAGGGGAAAGCCGTCTGAAAATCATCGACCGTACCACATCAGAATTTCTTTGATTACGACGCCGCGAGTCAAGGTTACCGTTTTTCTGACGATCCTGAACCGTGCCAGTACCATTCTTGGGACTTTGCCGCCGCACATCAATATGACTGTTGCGCACTGACAATCCTACGTCTTGCCAGTGTCTGGGACGTCAACCATGAGAATCCTTGAAACTAGTCTGCACTTGTAAGGTGGATTTGCTTGGTGCTGAGGCGGAGGAGGCCAATGACAAGCGGGAGTAGGAGGATGAACATGAAGAAGGAGAGCACGAGGAGGAGAAGGAGCAGGAGGAGTAGAAGGCCGACGGCGACGACGAGGATGCCCAGGACGAGGAGAGGGAGAAGGGTCGGGGAGGGCGGAAGGAGGGGGGATTCTCCGCCCTTCTTCCCATCCTCCTCCCCCTCACCCCCCCTCCTCCCTCCCTTCCATGTCCCCCTCCTCCGCCTCCTTGCCCATGCGGTGTGACACCGCCTCGGGTGTCCAGCTGCTCGGAGCTGCGACGGCGACGTCGATGACGCCGACGACCGCGGCGACGACGACGACGACGACTTCGACGACGTCCTCGCGCGCGCGCGGGGGGGACGCGGCGTCGACGCCGCAGACGACGGCGACGCCCCCCGGCGGCCGAGGTGACCTCGTCCAGGAGGCCCTGGCGGGCCGCGGTGGGCGAGCTGGTCCAGGCGCCGCCGCCCGCCGCTTCTCGCGCCCGCCGCTCCTCGCGCCCGCCCGCCGCCTCGCGCCCGCCGGGGCCTCACGCCCGCCGGGGCCTCCAGGTGCTCTCTTAAGTCGGGCGTGCCCCTCCACAGGGGGAATCTTCAGAAGAAGTAATTAAAAAAGTCAGGGGGCGATTATGTTTTAGTATTTGGGGTCATTGTTGCATGTTTATTCGATTATCTCCAATGTTGCGTCCTGTAGCCGCCCTCTAGGAGGACGCGCTCGACCTAAACGTACTCGTCGGTCGTCGAAAGTCGGTATTCTTGGATCCCCAGATTCCAGTCTACTTCAGGCGCCTATACTTCCAGTGTCGAGGGGTTGTGCCTCTCCCCCTCCTCTTCGGGGGGCGGGCGGAAGCCCAGTCCACCTCTCGCGCCTTCCTTTCTGTTTCTGCCCACTTCTTCCGACTTGCGCGTGCGGGTTCGGAGGACAGGGTTTCGGAGCTGCTCTCGAGTTTTCGGTCGTGCTTGCAGGTCTTCCAGCCTCGGAGTGCTCTGCGGCAGCTGCGCCTCGGCGAGAGCTTGTCTGGGAGTGGCAGACTCGTCCCGAACGGCCGCCTGAGGCCCGAGCCGCGCATGCCCCGAGCACCACTCATGAGCCTCCCAGATGAGGTCAGAGCAGATGGGGTCGGAGGACCGCGCCGCATCGCCGATGTTGCTCAATGCGGAGCCCGAGTTTCTCCACTGGCGTCGCTGATGCATCGTCGATGCGGCGCGATCCTCCGACCCCATCTACTCCGACCCCATTTGGAAGGCCTCTACGTTGAAGTCGGGCCTGTCCCTCTACAGGAGGAAGATTCAAAACTATGTACAACATAGTATTGGGACGATTGTTTTGACTATTCTTGCTCATTTTAGGATATGGTTTGACTATGTTTCATGTTTCGTCCAAAATCCGCCTGTCGGGGGACATGCCCGCCCTAGCTCTACGTGAGCGGCGCAGCAAAAGCGGGTTCGATTGTGCTGACATCGTGCGCAAGCGCGCGCCTTCGTGGTGTGCGGCGCGTTGGCGGCCGGCGTTAGCCACGTGCGTGAGGCGTGCGTAAACATCAGTATCGTGTAACCGACCCCCATCCCCATCCCCATCCCCTTCGAACCCCCACCAAATTACCCCCCAGTTGGGGATATGCCCTTCGAAACCCGAATGGAGCGGCCTATATCCCCATCTAGGGGGGTAAATCGGCCAGTGGGGCCCAGGCCACGCCGCTAGGGATAGGGATCGGAGAAACGGTGCTCATAAGATCCACTTATTTTCGAGGAGGGCGAGCTGGAACAACGGTAGTTGGCCTTCGAGGGGGGGTCCCTCCTCGCCGCGGCCGGACGTGGCCCAGAAGAGTGGTGCGTTGGAGCCCGTGAGGGGTCGGGGTCCGGGGACGGACTACGAGCTGCCGTTCTCTCGCTTCGCGCTGCTCGCGGGTGTTGCTAGAGGTGCCCCTGGCCCAAGGGGGCCCCCCTGGACTCGGGGGAGCGCAAGGCGGCCTTCAGACCACCCGCCATGAGGGCCCAAAGGGCCCCAGGGGCTCCAGGGTGGAGCGAGAGGTGCACCTTCGGCCAGGGGCACCTCCAGCGACCCCCGATGCTCCGATCGATGTGCGTGGGTGGTGGATCGCGGGGGGGGGGGGGGGGGGGGGGCGAAGGGGCTGTCCTCCACGCAGAGCGCGGGGGGGGGGGGGGGGGGATCGCTTTCGGAGAGGGGGATCCACACGCGCGGTGGGGCCGGGGCGGGCCGTCGAGCGGAGTGGCAGGGGAGGGAGGGCCCAGAGGGGTGCGGTCGGAGTGTTTGCTTAGAGAGAAATCTGTGGACGAAGACCGACACGCGATCGTTTTCTTATTCATTGTTTTGCCGATCGGCGGCGCGGGCCCTCGCCCCCCCCCGCCCCCTCCCTCGTGGAGTAGATCTTGGCTGTTTTGACCGCCCGTTTTCAGCATGGGGTGTCCCCCCCATGGAACGCACGGTGGCAAACAGTCGCACTAAGCCGAGGTCCAGAGCCAGCCCCCCCTTTCCCCCCCCCCCCTCCGCCAAATGTCGAAACGCCGAATGAGAGAACGGTCACCACTCGAGGGCAAGTGTAGGGGGGGGATGCGCTGGGGGAGCGCATCGATCCCCAATCGCCCAGTTATCGCCGATAGGCGCCCGATAGTCCACATCGCCCAGGAAGGTGCGGTTTCGCTATCCAGGGCTTATCGCTGATCTATTGGTGATGTATCGCCGAATTCCAGGTCGGTGTTCCCCCGCCTGCCTGAGTTGGTCCTACCTCAGATCGCTACCCCTCGTCAAAAGACTTGCTTTTGCCGCGGTCGTTGTCCGCTTGGAATCATAAGTCGGTTGCCCAACGGCTGTCGCTGCCAGTTTTAAGCAACGTTTTCTGTTGGGCATGAAACGTTCTGTTCCGTACCCATTTCGGGCGTGCAACGGGGAGGAGTTGCATCATCTTGGTTACAGTCGAAACGTGACCAGGGCCATATAGGTCAGAAATGAGCCCACTCTCCGAAAGGTCCGAGGCCCCATGGAGGTAATTAGCCCCAAGCGAAGAAAAACATCAAGGTGGAGAGCCGACCGCGAAGAGTAGAAGGAACAGCCTGCGCCTGCCCCTCCTCTCGCCGGAACGCTGGGCGGTGCTGGGGAGGAGTGATCCCCTTCTTGCTCATCCCCCCTTTTCCTCCTCCGCCTCCTCCTCCTCCTCCTCCTCCTCTTCCCCTTCTGGGCTGCCGCCGTGTCTCGCCAGAGCTCTGGGCGGCGCCTGGGAGGAGTGGCATCCTCCCCCCCCTCCCAGCAGAGGAATTCGGAGGATCGAGGGCCATCGTGGATTTTGATCGCAGGCGACTTCTCGCCGTCCATTCTCGAGATCCGCCCGAAAAAATCGGCCGCTCAGAAGAGGGGAAGAACTCAGGGATGCACCCCTAGCGGGTTATTCGGATGCAGCCCTATCGAGGATGGACCCCCCCCCCCGTCGTGTGTCCCCGAGTTTGACCCCAAAGTTTTGGTCCGTTCGAGATTTCCACAATGTTGGGGATGGAGGTCGCCATAACGGGGGCATGTTTCTTTTGGGGGGAGGCTGCGGGAGGCTTCTCGTCGCCTCGGCTGGATTCCAATTCCTATTTTGGCCAGAGCGCGCCCTTGTAGAGATCCAGAGGCCCGATTTTGTTCGAGGGGAGGAGAAGGTGTCCTTCAGAACACCGTTTCGGCCTCCTGGGCCCCTTCCTGGGCCAGGGGCCATCAGAAAACGAGTTGGGGTTGAAAATTGGTCCAGGGGCAGTCCAGGACCTGTTTCCCTCATGTCAAGCAGTGGCGAAGCGTCTTGGCGTGCCTGTAGGCCTACCAAACAATCTTCTAAGAACCTCTTGTGGTCTGCACGAAATGTTTTTAGAACCTTTTCTGGCTGGGACTGTCTTGTTTTATCACATCGGGCTTCTGTTCTAAGAACACTGTTTTTGTTCTTAGACCGTTCTTGGGTTCTGAGAACCTTTCGTGGTAGGCCTGTCGGACTGCGGGGACGGTCGGTCCCTGCTCAGTCATGGCCTTTCTCCCACATGCCAGTCATTCTTCCTCATCGCTCGGCGGTGCGCCCAGAGAGGCGGAGGCAGACGGGGCAGGCAAGGCTCAGAATGCTTCTGGCCTCATGAACATCAGGCGTTCGCAAGCATGGATCAAGGGGGCGCGGAGTAGCGACGGGTCCCGTCTCCACGGGAAATCGCGGATCTGCGCCGCCGAGCGAGGCGGCAGCGGCCGCATTCTAGGGAGGGGCACCTCCCCCGATCCATGGATTTGGCGACCGCGCGCCAGACCCATGGGTCGCTCATCCATGTTTGCGCGCCCCCGATGAACAGCTTTCGGCTCCGTGTCCGAATGCAGAGACCTCGAGCCGTCTGGGAGTCTCAGGTGCAGCGAGATGGGCGGGCAGGTTCGAGGCGCCAGGTTCGGGCAGGTGCTTTATCGTTCTCGGTCTCCGGAGGCTGTTTTCGGGCCCCGGGAGCGTGAGCAATGGATCCAGGGCGAAAAATTGCACCAGATGGACCCCACGAAGGGGCCAAGCATCCGTTTTCGTGTGAATTTGGCTTCATCCCCCCTCATGGCGGATTTTCTAGGATCCCAACCAGTTAAGACCTCAGCCGCCTCTAAACAGAGACGGCTTCTCACAAGGCTCGAGGGCTTCTGAGAAGCCCCGCCGCATTTTGAGAAGGTCTTCCCCTCTGCCGATCATTACTCTTCATCTCCCCTCCTCGTCCCCCTCTTCCCTTCCCGTCCGCCAGGATGATAGGCCCCTCCCTCCTTTGTGGGCGAAACGAACATCCGTATCCGCGGCCTCGCGGGCCGGGCCCCTGGGACGCGACCCCGCGGATACGGCACGCTTTTGTTCGCGGATGCTTCGCGCAGAGCGCATCCGTGCGATGGACTGTCACTGCATATCGGCGGCGAGCTCCGAATCCTACCCTCGCCGACCAATGATTGCGGCAGCTCGATGGGCTGCGGGGGTAGGGCTCTGAGTTCGTCGAACGTGTGGTGCCATTCGAGCCCTGCCCCCATCCCCCATCGATGCAGGAAGGTAGGGGTAATTAGGGCTCGGCTGTCGCCACCCGGAGTCCCCGGCATCGTGTCCCGTAGTCCGGACCGCGAGGGGGCGGACACGGACAGGTTCGCCGCTCGTGGCGCCACTCGGGGCGTCTGCATCGAACTGGCGGAATTCCGCCGTTGCCTTCCGGCGTCAAGGGTGCTTCGAGGCGCGTCCCGTCGATCGTTAGTGGGGCCCCCGCGGGCCCCCCGCAAGTCGCGCAGCCAAGGTCTCTCTAGTCGTTCGCCGCTCGTGATTCCCCTGGCGCGAGCGCGCCCCAGCAGCGGCCCAGTAGCGGCAAGGGACCACTGACGCGAGCGCGCCACCTGCACAGCAGCCAGAGGCGCGGCGCCTGAGACAGGGACTCCCTCCTCCTCCTCCTCCTCCTCCTCCTCCTCCTCCTCCTCCCTCCTCCCTCCTCCCTCCTCCTCCCTCCCTCATCCTCCCTCCTCCTCCTCCTCCTCCTCCTCCTCCTCCCTCCCTCCTTCCTCCTCCTCCTCCTCCCTCCTCCCTCCCTCCTCCTCCTCCCTCCTCCTCCTCCTCCTCCTCCTCTCCTCCTCCTCCTCCTCCTCCTCCTCCCCCTCCCCCTCCTCCTCCTCCTCCTCCTCCTCCTCCTCCTCCCTCCTCCTCTTCCTCGTCCTCCTCCATTCTGGCGTGTTTTTGATCCTCCGACAAGTAGCGGTCGTGAAGCCCCCCCCCACCCCCGGGTAGCAGTAGCGATGGCGCGTTTATTTGGGTGAGGGGGAGGGGCCGGACCCTCTAAAAAGTGAGCCCATGCTGCCGGGATCGCGGCGCGCCTCCGCCCCAACGTGCCCCACCGTGCCCAAGCGTTCCCGTTAACCAGGGCTCCCCCCCCGCAACGAGCGCGACGTGGAAGTACCGATACAGATCGCCTCGAGGCGCTCTGATGATCAAGGCCTACCCAGGAGCGGCCTACCCAGGATCTAAGTCAGACCTGGGGTCGGCCGAGGCTCGCCGCTGCCGGAAGAGCCCCCCTTTTGGGTTCCTGGGAGGTTGATTCAGAAGCCTCCCAGATGGGGTCGGAGCAGATGGGGTCGGAGGATCGCGCCGCATCGGCGATGCAGCTGCGATGCCTCGGCGACGTCGGCGGTGCATCGGCGACGCCAGCGCGGAGAAGCTCTGGCTCCACATCGAGCCGCATCGCCGATGCATCGTCGATGCGGTGGAATCCCCCGGCCCCATCCACTCTGGCCCAGTGGGGAGGACTAGACAAATTGAGGTCGGGCGAGCACATGGAAAAGTCGCTCCAGAGCGTCCAGGAACGCTCTCAGAGCGCTCCGGAACGCTGTGGGGAAGTCACCAGAGACAAAAGTACTACTACCACCAGCTAGGGGGGTGGCTGTCCGATGTCCCACCCTCTCGAGCTGGTGGCACCCCGTTCCGGGCATGCCTCCAGAGAGAGTGCCCGGAAGGAGGTGCCACCAGCTCGAGGGGAGGGAGCGGCCACCCCCCGAGCTGGTGGTAGTGGTGATTGTGTCTCTCCTGAGGAAGGCCGCGGCGCCCGACGCGTCCCCCAATTCTCAGAGGTCCCCGATGTGCCATCCTTATCCCTGGCATCGCTCGGACGTATGTATTTTTCCTTCGGCGAGGACCATCGAGGAGCATCCTTGATCATTTGGCGAAGAAACCACGCACAAAACCGAAAAAGACAGGGAATGGACGTCCGAGCGATGGCCAGTGTCCAATTGCGGCCCTGTCGTGGCCTCGTCGTGGGGGGCAGGGAGGCGCGCACCGGCGCTGGCAGCTCCGTGGTCGAAGACTGGCATAAGCCGTCCTCCTCCAGGCGGCTTCTGGGGGGAAAAGGTACCCCCTCAAATATTCAAAAATAGCCAGAGCATTTTCGCTTGAACAGAAAAAAACATCCCCCGACTATGTTTCATCATTATGATGAGTGTTCCTCCCACTGTCCCGCTTTTATCCCGGCTAATCCAGCCTCATCCTCGAGGAATCAGAAAATATTCAAACATGAATTTTCGGAGATCCGCGCGGATCTCTCGGATCGGCGTTGGAGTTCCTTGGCGGTGCCTCCGGCGCCGCCCCTTGCGCGCTCCGCGCGCCAGAGAGGGGGGGTCCATCGCCGATTCAAGAAATGTTAATGAAATCAGTGTTCCTCGAAATCCAGCTGAATCCTGGGCTCACCCTGGCTTAATGTGGTTCATTGGATGTTTCATCGGGCTACATATTAGTTAATCGTTCCCGCGAAGACTTTCTGGGAGCAGCCTCCTCACAGCGCGTATCGGCAACATAGATCAGGCCTCATCGTCGTCTTTCTTCGTCGTTCTCCTTTTTGCGAGAGTCGTAGATTGCGTTTCCCGGGCGCCAGGAGCTCCAGTACGTTGCCCGCAATACGCCTGATCGCAAGTTGGGAAGGGGGGGCGCATGAGAAAGGAAGAGAGAGCGGGAAGATGAGTATGATGAATGTGAGGAGGACGAGGAGGCAGAGCATGACGAGAGGAGGCAATGAGGTAGATGATGAGGAGGAGGAGGAGGAGGAGGAGGGCGACGATTACGAGACGACGCGGAGGAAAGCAAGCAGGAGAACGGGTAGGTTCTGACAGCGTTGTCGCTCGGCTTGGGGAGGGCATCCGCACGCGGAAGGCAGGAGAGGGCCGAGCCCGCGGTCACGGGATCGAGAGGCTGGCCAGCGAGAGGGCGGTACGTAAGTCGGTACGGTCGACATGAGCATGGAAAGAATGGGTTCGAAGACAGATCGCGGTTCCTGTTCATTTTGAACAGGATTCGCTGTCGGCGTCCTCGCGGATTTTGTCCATTTGAGACAGACGGTTAGGTGCCCAACAGCGGCCGTTGTAGGTTTTGGGACATCATTTGTTGTTGGGCATCGTGCCCATATTTTTTGGTACCCATCTCGGATGTCCAAAGTCATGGGGTGGGGGGGGTGAAGAAGTTGCAGCTGTCGTGCTCGACAGGAGCCCCCTGGGGCTCAAAATGACTTCGAAAGGTGCACGTTTCTTCCCCAGCGATCGCTTCCCCAGCAGGCAATGTCCAAGGAGCTGACGCGCGGCTGTGTGGAGCGCGTAGAGTTACAGCACAATGCGCCTCCCAGCGCTGGTCTCATACAGCTCGCTGGCTCGTGCGGCCCTGCGCAGTTGTGCATTCACGAAATCAAGGTATTGTGGCACTGCGGGAGCAGCGATTATTTACAAGCAGGCGGGAATAGGTGTGTAGATAAGCCAGAAACCAGCAGTGCTTTTGCAGCTCTCCTGTGCATTTGTCCGTCGTGAAACCACTGCACACGTAAGTATGCATTCGCGCTAGTTTTCTATCACAATAACCAGCGAGTGCGGAAGGGATCTATATGACTCATGCGTAGCACATTGGATTACGCAACGTGCGGCTTGCTAGTTTTTAGTGTACATGTAGTCATGGTTCGTGGCTTACGGTGGGCCGAGGATTGTGGCTCGTGTGTTGTAGTTTGAGGCCCATGGTTCGTTGTTCGCGACATGTGGGTCGTAGCTCGTGGCTTCTGGCTCAATATCTCATTGGAACGTCGTCCGTTCCTCGAGACTTGTGGCTTGTAGCGTTGGGTTCGTGTCTCGTGGGCCCGTGTTGACTGCGTGCGGCTCGTGGCTCTCTGATCGTGCTCATCATCTCGTTGGCTTAACTTGGTATCGGGTGCTTCTCCACACTTGTTTACCACTCCTCCTTCCCGCTCGCTGCGGCGCGCTGCCGTGCTGTCTCCGTCACTCTCGATCGACGTTTGCGCTCCTGCGTCGTACGCTCATCTGGCCGATGCCCTCGTGCTGTATCCGCGACAGACTATCTTCGCTCCCACCTTCTGCGGAGCCGGGGGCAGGTGGGATTTCGCCATTGCGTTCATCACGGGCCATCCCGAGGATGACGTTGTCCTCGAGGCGAGCCTGCATGGCATGCTCGGTGCCATGCGCTGACGTCAACGCTGGCTCTTGTTAGCTCCGCCAGAACAGCACTCAAGTGCGCCATCCATGCGAGGTTGCACCCTCACATGATGGTTTTGAATCAAGCAGGGCGGCAGTCTGGGCGCACGTGCATATAATCCTCTATTTGTTTATTATTGTTTAGGATCCTTCTCCTTACCCCTCGTGGCTGCTCCGTGTTTTGAGACAGCTTCTCCACCACTGGCGAACCAGCCATCACACATGTTATAACTTTCTCTGCGACCATTGCCCCCCTTGAGTGTTCCCTTCCTTCTGCCCCTCTCCCTCTCAATGTCCCAGAGTGCTTCGCTTCCCCATGCTCCTCTTCATCCGCATGCTCTGCACAAGTGCGTACATGCTCACTTGAAGCTTTCACAGGCAACGCGGCTTCTGGACAAGCGGTTGGGCACTGACGGCTGCCTCCTAGGCGACTTCCCCCCTTCTTTGGCCTGAAGCCGCCAATTGCGTTGTTCGTAGCTACCGTGCCCATCTCGTCCACCTCGTCGTCGTCATTGACGCCCTCCTTCCTCTTTAGGCACTCATTTCGTTACTCATCCCTCCATCCTCGCCGGGTTCCACCCCATCCCACCCCACCTCGATCACGATGGTCGTCCTTCCTTCGTCGCTCCTTCGTCGATTCCACCTCCTCCCCCGCCTCATGATTCCTGCCCCCTTCCTCATCCTGCCCTCCTCCTTCCCTCGTCGATTCCCTGCTTCCCCGCCCCCCCGAACCCTTACTCGACGACCTGCTCCTTCCGCCGTCGATGCGCGAGGAGGCTGCCCGTGGTGGACTCGCCCGGCCCCACTCCCGCTGGCGTCCCCCCCCCCCTCGTCCTCCGCCTCGTCCCCCCTCGTCCTCCGCCCCGTCCTCCTCGCCCTCCTCGCCCCCATCCTCGTGCCGTCGCCGTCCTCGCTCCGCCGTTCCCTCGCTGGCCTCTCCTCCTCGTCGTCCCCGCCCTCGGCCTCCCCCGTCGCCTCGTCCTCGTCGTCTCCCTCGACCTCCCGGGGGCGTCTTGGCCCGTGCCCGCCCCGGCGGCGGCGCGGGGCGACCCTCTGCGGGTCGAGGGGCGGCAGCGCACAGCCGGCGGCAGGCGGCAAGCCCCGTCCCCGTGCCAGTGCAGCAGTCTCGGTGGCAGCTGCCCGAGCCGGGGAGGATGGTGATCAGGAGGGGAAAAACATACGGACACAATGAATCGTCGATTCCCAAGAAAATATTGGAAAATGTTGGAACTGGGCGGAAAAACAAAAACCCAGAAAATATGAGAAAACATGGGGAAGTCTTTTATTTGTGTGTATTTATTTGTGTGTCTCAGGGCCCCTTCAGATGAGTGCGAGGATCCTCCCTTCCCCCCTCCTCCGTCGGTCCTGGGGTCCTCGCCGCGCTTTGCCGTCGCCCTTTTCGGTGTTGGGCCTTCGGGGACCGCGCGGTCCCTTCAGAGGCTTTTCGAGGCCCCTCCAGAGGATCTCAGAGGTAGGGGGTCTGGCGTCGCGACGCGCGCTCGGGCGCGCGCGCGGCGCGGGCTGCGGCGGATAAGGACCGCTTTGCCCGCAGTGCGCGAGGGCGAGGATGAGGGTGAGGATTGGGATGATGAGCATGATGAGGGTGATGATACTGATGTCGATGATGATGACGATGATGATGATGATGATGATGATGATGATGATGACGATTATGATGCTGCTGATGGTGATGGTGATGATGATGAGAATAATGCTGGTGCTGACGATGATGACGATGATAAGGGCAGTGAAAATGATGAGGATGGCGATGATGATGATGATCAGTGACGATGACGATGACGATACCGATGAACTTATGAAGAGGATCCGTAGGCGATGAAAAGGATTGTTTAGGACAATGAGGATGCTAAACATGACTGTGCTGATGCTAACACAGATGCCTATTTTGGTGTTGATGTTGATGATGCCGATGACGATGGCGAGTGTGGTGACGTTTTTGCTGCTGCTGATGCGATGACGATGTTGATGATGATGATGATGATGATGATGATGATGATGATGATGACGACGATGACGATGACGATGACGATGACGATGACGATGATGAGATGATGGTGGTGGGGGTGGTGATGGTGATGATGATGGTGCTGACAGTGACAATGGTGATGATGAGGAGGACGAGGAGGACGAGGACGACGAGGAGGGCAAGAATGGTTGCAATGAGGATGAGGATGAGGACGAGGATGCGGATGAACATGATGCAGGTCTTGATGATGGCGATAGCGATGACGATGACGATGATGATGACGACGACGATGGCGATGATGAGGAGGAGGAAGATGATGAGGAGGAGGAGGAGGAGAAGGGTGATGAGGAGGAGGAGGAGGATAATGGTAAGGAGAAGAACGAGGAAGTGAATGAGGATCAGGATCAGGATGAGGATGATGAGGGTGGGGACGATGAGGATGAACATGAGGACGAGGACGGGGACGAGAAGGAGCAGGAGGAGGAGGAGGAAACATAGGACGGCCGTCACTTGTGACACCTATCGTCTCCAGGTCTCGAGGAGCTCTCATGGACCTCGTTTGGGCCGTCTCGGGGCTGTCCTAGGCTCGTGCTTGGTAGTGTTGGAGGCTCCGTGGGCTCTCTTTGGCAGTCTTAGGGACCCTCATCCGCCGTCTTGGGGCTCTCTTGGGCCGTCTGTGGCTCTTTTGACCGTACGGAGGGTGCCTCGGGGCTCTCGTGGGGCCATCTTGGCGCCGTCTTGGGTCGTCGATGGGGCCCTCTGAGGCCGTACTGGCTTCCTCCTGAGGCCCTCTACAGCCAACTTGTGACCGTCTTGGAGGCCTCGTGTGCCATCATGGGGTCCTCCTGGGCCATCTTGGAGGTTTGGGGCCTCGTGAGGCCATCTTGGAGGCTTCTGGGGCCATTTTGCGTTGACAGAGCCCGAGAAGGCGAGAATGCGAAACGCTGTCAAACATTCATGGACAATACATCATGTGGGTTTCTTCGTGCACGGTTGGGGGGTCTTCTTGTGGCCCGCTTGGGCCTTTTCGGAGGCTTCGTGGGCCATCTTAAGGCCACCTTGGGCCGCGTTGTGGCCATCTTGGGCAGTCTTCGAGGCAGATTGGGCAATCTTGCCGGCATTGGTTGCTTGCCTGGGCCGTCTTAGAAGCTCGGGGCGCGGATGTATAGTTTTGTTTACGAGGGAGGGGTGGTCCAGGGAGCTTCTGGAGAAGGGGGCGATGCATGCGGCCAGACAGCCCTCGGCATTCCTCCACGCTTCCGTGTGCACAAGGCACGGTGGCGCATAGGCACGTGGGGTGACAGCTGCACATCAATCCCCCCCTGCCACCTCATCAGCATTCTGTCTTCATCCTGTCTCCCCCCCTCTCCTCCCTCATCCTCCGCCCGCCGCCTTCTGTACTTGCTCCGTCCTGCCTTCTCCATTCGTCCCTCTCCCCTTCTCTCCCTCCATGCACCCCTCCCTCCAGTCTCCCACTCCTTCTTGCCTCCCGCCATGCCTCTTCGTCATCATCCTTCCGCCCTCCCCCTGACCCTGATCCGACTTCCTCCTGCTCCATGCTCCCCTCTCCCCCTATCCCCTCCTCGTGCTCCTTGCCGTCATCCTTCCTCCTGCCTCATCCTGCGCTTTCGCCCTCTCCCTCACCCGCTCCGTCTCGTCCCTGCTCGGTATCCGCCCTGCCTCCCTCCGCCATCTGTCTCTGCTCCCCTTTTCTCCAACCCTCGTACCCTCCCCGGCGAGCACTCCGCCACGCAGACCTGAATACGTGTGGAATTCCTGGCGCATGCAGCAGGCAATGTCCTGGACCTCATGGCAGTTAGTGCATACATGTTGGCATGTCGTAGCGAGTCAGACAGATGGTTTAGTCGTGCCCGCGATCAAACGTGGAATCAAATCGGTGACAACGAGGATGGGTAGACGAGACGCCGTGAGGGCTCATGCGAGGGTCGCAGCTTGTCATAGTGCGTCATTTGCCTTGCACACGCTCTCACAGGAGTTGATGCGGAATTCGCCAACGGCACTCTTATTCCAGAGGGTCCTGATTCGCAGGATCAGTTGGGGAAGGGAACGAGCCGTGCAAAACTCAGAGCATTGACTGCCACCCGAGGGAGTGGACGAGGGGGGAGAGGAGATTTGGATGCGCGGAAGAGAGGTGACTGAACCCCGAGAGGCGTAGGGGGGCGACATAGTAGGAAACTTCGAGCTGCGAGCACGATGTGTCATGGCGCCAACATCACAGAGGGGATCCCGTTCGGAAAACGATAGCATGGGCCTGGAGTGTCTTGGAGAATTTCGTTCTGGATTTCGAGGTGGATTTCGTGCGGATTTGTGTGGCCAAGGATGAAGACTAAAACACATCCACGCCTACTGAATTTCGTTTTTCACTCGCCGTTTCGGGGTTGTGCATTGACAGAAGTCCACGCAAAAATCCACTGCAGCACGTCTGCAAGGTCGGTGCGATGAGATGTGGGGTTTGCATGCCTTGTCGGTGCAATCAGACGGGAGGCATGTATACGCAGGCTGGGGCGCTCGGGCTGCAGCATCACACAGTCGGTGCTCCTGGTGGACTCAGCTTTTTTGCTGTTGGTAGTCCTTGGACTCCTGGACTGGTTCCTACTTGCTCGCCATCGTCACTGCTTCCTGGCACCTCACGTGGGTGCGCCCTGGCCTTGGCTCCTGCTGCTGCCACGGTCCCCGCTGCCTCGGCTCGACGCGGAAGTCTTCCACGTCTGAGCGTTTCCCCCCCCCTCCCCTTGCGCGGCCGCCCTCGTCTTCTTCCTCACGAAGGACAATTCACCATCGCTTGCCCCGAATAGCCACACGTTGGAGCGGGCTGCCTCTGCCTCGCCGCCGACGGGAACAAATTTTGCGCAGGCTGGCCGGATCTGACCAAGCAGAGGGACCATGCGGAGCAGGCGAAGGAGGAGGGCGTTCGGTGGAGTGGAAGTGGCACCAGTGGCGACCCGATGGTGGTGATGGTGGAAGCAGTAGTGATGCCGCTGATCATGGCGAGGGCAACAGTTAGACAGTCGAGGTCGGACGAATCGGGTGGGTCCCAGAGGTCTCCCAAAAGGCCACCGGGTGCTTTCCACGAGCGCAAGAAGAACAGCTCGAACTTGGATGCGTCGATGGCCCCTTGCGGAGAGTCCGGCCATCGGCGCGGCCAGTCGCAGCCGTCTCGTGTTCTGAGCACCCGGACGGCGCTCCGAGTGGTGCTGGACTCTTACTTAAAAGGCAGGAAGTTGGAGACGCAAGGAGTCCATGCGATTTGGGGAAGGCGGTTTGAATGAAACGCATCGTTCATTCAAACCGGCTTTCCTCGAATCCAGGGGCGGGGAGGGTAACGAGAAAGGGAATTGGAATGGCCAAGTTGCACAGGGACTGCAGATTTATGGCGCCTCGCGTATCCCCACCAGCCCATCCAAGCAACGATCACTGGGCGAGTTGCCCTGCTCAGGGACGTGCAGCAGCACGCACTCACGCTCTGGGAGCCTTCTGTGCGGATAAGACGTGTGTCCAGATCCAGTGCAGCGTGGAGGTGCGGGCTCCCTTGCCCAGAAACCCGAGGCGTGCTGGATATGGATGAAGATATGGCCCCTAGAGGCCCGATTGTTTATCCATATCTAGTGCGCCTCGGCCTTGCAGCGTCCCTTCCAAAAAAGTCCAAGACACACTGGATATGAATATAAAGATTGCCCGCACTTTGGAGGGCCATCGATCAGCGAAAGGGGGGTCGCCGAGTACACCCCCGCCCCCTCGGAGGCTGAACGACTTCCTCGAGGCCCTTTCGAGGCGCTCTTGGGCCGTCCTTGGCACCTCTTGGGCCCCTCTCGGGGCTTGATTGGGCAATCTTGCAGCCATTTTCAGGCCTCCACAGCCCATCGGACACGAAAAGGCGAATCAAGCACATTCAGGGTTTCGCGAGCTCCGGTGCAGGACAGTCGCGGCGCCTCGTAGAGCTTTTGTTGGAAGCTGTACTGAGCCATGTTGGGCTGCCTTGTGCGATCTCGGAGGCCATCTTGGGCTAACTGGGATCAACGGGGACCCGTCGAGCGCTCTCGGAACGCGCCCCCTCCAGACCCGGGGAGAGGGGGTAGGGAGAGAGAGGTAAACCTCCCCCGAAGGGAAAGAGGAGGTTGGAGGAACTCACTCCCTAAACCACCTGCAGTCAACCGTATGGTAAGGATGGGCAACCTTGCCAAGGGTACCCTTGCATCCTTACCTCCTCGGTCCATCCTTGGCCAGTTTTGCTGGCCGCGCCCCGCTCGAAAAGCCTCGAAACGGCCTTCCAAGGCCCTTGCATCCTTGTCGTGTACTCTTATGATACGGGTTGACTGTATGCGCAAAGGGTTGGAGGGATGAACGGGGGGGGGAGAAAGACTCACTCGGAAGACGACCAGCACACCGCCTGGATTTCCTGAGGAGGAGGAGGATGAGGAGGAGGATAAGGCCCCCCTCCTTGCCGCGTCGCCCTCCCTCTCCATCCCTCCCTCCCCCCTTCACAATTACTCCTCTCCCTCTTCCCCTGATGACGGTTTGAAAGTGTCCGTCCCCCCCCCCGCGTACTGTTTTTTTACACAGGTTTCCCCGGAGTTGGGTTTTCGCTTGCATATTTTTCCAAAATGCTGGTCTCGCTGAGGCGCCAGCCTCATTTTCGGGCCCCGCTCGATCCGAATCGTGCTCCCGCTGCAGCGCTGGCCTCATTTCCGTGCTTCCGCTCGTTCCAAATCGTGCTCCCGCTGCAGCGGTGGCCTCATTTCCGCGCTTCCGCTCGTTTCGACTCGTGTTCCCGCTGCAGCGCTGGCGTCATTTCCCGTGCCATGCCACGGCGTGCAATGCAATGCTAGGTTGATAGTACGCTTTGCGGTGCTCTTCTACGCCATGCCACGCCGTGCTCTACAATGCATCGCGTACCCTTTCGGGATCATTGCCCTGCTCGACATCCGACTTTGCGAGTAGAGAGGGGATCTGCGCCATGGTAAGGGATGGGAGGGGGAGGGGTAGGATGTCAGATATGACGCGAGCGCACCTAGCTTGCCTCCCTCCCCCTCCCCCCCTTCCCCCCCTCCCTCATTCCCCTTCCCTCCCTCCCCCTTCTCTCCCTCCCCCTTCTTCTTTCCCCCCCTTCCTTCCCGCCCCCTTCCCTCCCTCCTCCTTCCCTCCCTCTCCCTCCCCCTTCCCCCTCTCCTCATTCCCCCTTCCCCCCCTCCCTTCCTCCACCTTCCCCCTGGCACCTGTCCACTGCCACTACAGGCTTGCCTGCCCTCTGCGAGCTGCAGCACGCTGGAAAGGGGGCACAAATGGCGCATGTTCGTGAGGGCCCCGCCTCGTTTGTGACCTCGTGTGGCCCTCGGGTCAACTCGCCGGAGCCCTCCACAGGCTGCGATTTTACATACAGTGGGGGCCCATGCCAAGAAGCACTCTGCTTGCCTTCAGTTGTGCCCTGGGTTTCGATAGTTTCGCTGTGGAAGGCGCGACGTTCCCGCATCAGAAATCCATGGACGTCCTGGGGTCTCAGGGTTGGGTTCCTTATGGAAGGTTTCTAGTGGTCGGGCTTTCACTGTAATTAAGCCATGCGCGCCAGTCGTTGGAAGTATGTTTTTTGGGGGCAGCGGGATCTCAGTCTGCTGCAAGCGCCTTCCTGTTTCAAGGGTCGACATGGAGCCCAATCTACTCTAGCCGCCTTTTCTACTTCATGTGTCCACCTACTTGTTCCAATTGGCGGGTATCGTCGGGTGTGAAGGGAAAAGGGCAGGAGAAGACTGTGTCCGAGGAAACCACCGCGCAGTGCAACATCACGGTCACGGCGATGCGCCTGCCGCGTGATAAGGATTATGGTTCTGTTGTTGGGGGTGGTGCGGATGATAGTGGGCATGCGCTAGCAATGAGATTGGTGTTGCAGAGCAGCAGGATGAGCAGATTTGGGGAGCAGGCGCGGGAATGGAATGATGAGTACAAGATTTGGTGGCATGGGGTATGATTTGGAAGCATGGAGCTTGTATCGCAAAAGAGTGCGACAGGGCAGCGGAGCAAGAACAGGGAGCCAATATTACCTGACGCTTGCCCATGCCCGTTCCGAACTGATGTTGATCGAGAGTCCGAACGGCAGGATCCGCACGACTGTTCAAACGGTGCAGTGAACTCGCTGGAGCCTTCCACCCGAGGCCAAACGTCTGAGTCCAGCTCTGTGTATAGCGACGAAGAGGAGGGTGGGCCAGGACGGCAGCCTCTACGACGGTGTCCAGGGGGCGCGACCGTTTGCCATCGGCAAGGACGGCGTGCTCTCCGCCTCTCTGCGCGGGCACGCCGGGAGTCGAGGTCCGAGTCCACGCCCGGTCGCACTCGGTGCTATGGCCCGTTTCTTGTGACTCGGACGATGCCCTCGGTCTCCTGGATCTGCGCCGGACCACCCCTCAGAGCCCCGAGTCATCAGGGGTGATTCGGGTCAGGGCTAACTCGGGTTCGTCTTGTCGAGCATCCGAGCCCGAGTTTATATCTTGAGCCCGAGTTGCCCCAGACAATCTGGGCGTCCAGAGCCCCAAATCATCGGGGTTCATTCGGAGCAGGGCTAACTCGGGCTCGTCTTTCGGGAACCCGAGCCCGAGTTTATATCCCGGGCCCGAGTTGCCCCGGATAGCTCGGGCGCCCAAGCCCTGGCGACGCCTCCGGCGCCGAAACCCTGGCGCTGGCGCTCTTCGCTTGCCGGGAAGGAGGTCGAGCCCAGGTCCAGGATTTTCGCGCGACCCTGCGAACGTGTACAGTCGGACCGAGGCATAAGGTCGAGGTCGATGTTCTTCGTGCTCCCCGGACGTTCTTGGGCACCCTGGGGAGGGTGCCCCAGGATGCTCTGTATGTTTTCTCTGGCGGAGGGTCTCGTGCTCTTGAGAGATGCTCTTCTTGGCCTGGGTCCGACTCTATGTTTGTGCAGGCTGTTCTGTTCGGGTTGACCCAAAAGGGGGTCCAGCGACAACTGGGTGGTGCAATAGATTTGGTCAATAGATTTGTGGGGTTGCAATACACTTGGGGCGTGCAATACATTCCAAAGCGCAGATGTATTGCTGGATTTTCGCGTGCAATACGTTACTTGCAATACTGATGTACTACAAGTGTCCAGCGCAATACATTTGCAATACAGTTGCCCCAAAACTATTGCACCACCCCCTTTCAGCTGGACCCCGTTTAAGGTCACCCAAATTTGTTGGCATGGACCAGGTTTGAGATTCGAGCGTGTCGCAGAGCTATCGGACGCCGGATCCTGCACCTCGGCTGGAGAGCTCTCTGCGGCCGCGCGCGGCAAGTGTGCGGAGGCAGAGGCTCGGGCCGGACGAAAGGAGGGGATTGGGAAAGGGGGGGTTACGAAAGTTGCTGCATGCAGCTGGTTTCGGCCTCACCGAGGGGCCCATTCCTCGATACATAGCCGCCTCCGGCGCCGGGAGGCGCCGGGAAAATCAGCTACGTGAGCTGATTCTCAAACCCCCCCTTTGCTATCCCCCCCCCTGTCGCCCGACCCGAGAGGCGCAAGCGCAGGCGGGAGAGCTCTCGGCGGGAGAGCTCTCCGCGGCCGCGCGCGGCAAGTGTGCGGAGGCAGAGGCGCGAGCGCGCCCTCACCCGGAGGCTCGGGCAGATCGCCGCGGGGCGCTCGGGGCCAACATGCGCGGTCGGTTCGCGTCGAGGCGGCGCGGCGGCGGCCCCGCCGCGGGCGTTCCGAGGATTTCGGCGATCGAGACGCCGCCGGTCGTGTGAGTCGGCCACGCGCAGAGGGCTTGACATCGCTCGGACGTGTGCATGTTTCCTTCGGCGAGGACCATCGAGGAGCATCCTTGGTCATTTGTCGAAAAAGCCACGCGCGAGACCGAAAAATGCACGGGAAATGGACGTCCGAGCGACGGCCAGGAGGGGGGCAGGGGGAGAGGAGAAGGCTTCTTAGAAGCACCCCCGCTTCTTGGAAGGCGCGGGCCATGTCTGCAGATGCAGGGCCAGCGCCTTCTAAGAAGAAGGTGCCTCCAAGAAGCCTTCCCCCCTCCCCCTGTCCTCTTTGTGCGCGCTGCCATGGAAGGTCGAATGATCCTCGCGGTGTCAGATACCAACGCCCGAGAGTCTTCACGACAGGAATTTGCCGCAGGCCATACTATGTTTTTGCAGGAGGGGTGTTGCCAGGAGGTAGACAGTGCGAGGACGACGTGGGAGGCCGATGCTGCGCGCTTGGTGGGATCATGCTGCCGATGCTGCACGGGGAACTTGCGGACGCTGGGGGGCAGGAGGATCGTCGAAGGCATTGGCGACGCGCCTGCGGCGCCCGCGGCAGAGTCGCCCTTCCTCGAGATTCGAATCGACCCTGCGTTTTCGATGTTCCAACCGACTTTAGCTTTGATCACCAGAGAGAATTTAGAGCACCACAAAAAGACCGAAACTCGAGGGTTTTCGCGTGCCGGGCCCTGGGAGACACTCGTCCGACACTGTTTCGACACTGTTTCGACACTTTTCCGGGTGCTCGAAATTATTTCTGGGATGTGGTCCTGAAGTGCGATGAGGGCAACATAACCCTGCGTGTGCGATCGGGTGGGGGAAGGCGCCGCGCCAGCTTGCCCGCGCGCCCCGCGGCGGCGAGGCCGCGTTGCTGGGACTCCGGACTGTGCCCGCCTGCGCCCGGGGCAGGCTGGCTTCTCCGCGCGCGGGTGCGGGTGGGCGCCGGGGGTGACGTCGGGCATGTGCCTCCACAGGGGGAGTGCGCGAGACAAGTCAAAAAATAGACTGGGGGCGATTTTTCGACTA